GTCTATCACAGGTTATGATGGATTTGACTGAATCGTTCAGAATTGTCCCGTTCATCTTCGGAATGAGCGATCAGTGATCGAGTCCAACTGCCCTTCCAAAACGTCAAGGTGCACACCCAAAACAGTAAATGACGTTGATCCATGCCATTTTGGGGTTCTTGAAGGAAAAGCCGTTGATGTAATTCAAACAGCCCCCTTTGGAGTGCACACGGGAAGCGCAAATCCACGATCGCCGATGCTTCAACGGCGTTGGTACACGGCTAGACACAAGACCATACCACACACACAACGCCCAGGGCTTACATATTTGTTCACCCTTCCCACAACGAAGAGCCTTGCCGACGGTGGCAACGGCCCCCGCAACCGAACAGTTCGAATTCCCTTGCACCCACAGAACTTTCTTTTTCACGTGACAAGGACCATCATCCATCACCAACCAGCCATACGACATTTCAAAGGTACCCACTCATCGCCACATCGCAATCCACTCTATAACACATATACTAAAGGTGCCCATACACTCAATGTAGAAATATTTCAGCTGCGAGCGTGACCTCAACATAACACTTGTCTCTAAATCGGATGGCATCTCCCACAACAACCAAGTTGATGCTCACAAAAGTCCCATCACATGAGAAACAATTCTGTGAATTCTGAAACACATTTTTCTTTTCCTTTTCTACATTCAGAATGCCTTGCATAGAAACCATATTCTTGACATGCATACAAGTCGCACACCATAATGCATAAGTGATCCACCCAGTGAAACGGTGGTCATTATGCGGTGTTGCGAACATGGGCTCTCCCACGTTTCCATCTGTGAGACACTCCGAACTTTGGTGGGCCCATATTTTCCTCGAACAAGAGGACCCCAAGGAATAGCCAACATCAACCATTTGCCATAATCAGCTCACCACCTAAAATCCCATGGCACACCATAACATGATCATGAAACATCTCTTGTTACCACTCCCACTGCTATCACCCAACACCTCCCCCATTAACGCCGAATTGACAGTGGGCCCATACCCACCATCGCACGCAATGGACTTGGTAGACTTTCTCTCCAATGAGCTAGCACCATATTTCTGAATCAATATAAAACCAAAGGATAGGCTGGCTGGGCAATTCACCAACACAACCTCATGATGGGGAAAGAAACATCCCAACATGTTCCTTAGGGTTACTAAAATAGATGCTGTCCATGGCTGGAAAGAGACATCAGCACATGGATTGAAATCTAGAAAACCATTAATTGGGTGATCTCTATTGCTGGAAAGAAACATCAGCAAAATGATGAGCAAAATGATGTTTTGAAGAACAAGCTGGCATGTGCTAGCTGGAAAATCATCAACTCAGCACCACACTATGGAAAACCATCACAGAGTGAGCCATTCCTATTAGAAGCATCACCAAGAACTGAGAGCCGCGGTCAGCTTTGGTGTTGCAATATGGTAAGACCCATGAAAGTATGCAAACTTCCAACGCCCATTCCCATAAAATCAAACCCAAACAAGTGACAAACCAACAAACCTTCATCAACACAATAATCATGGCACTAACCAAGCCACTTTCAAGCTTCTTCATAACCCATTGTGCCATCAGAATCCCCAAGCAATCGGTTGTCCCATCATGATAAATTCATAAATCAAAATTTCTTGGGTCCACTTGCGCGCTTTCACCAGCCTCGGGAGTCACCGAATTCGTCACCTCTGCATCCCTGTACACAAGTGCAGCCCCAGTAGTTGTACCTCCACCTCAAGCGGCCTGACCTCCAACAAATGATGGGCCCAATCAATGGGGGAGAACTCTGAGCCCCTGCGGTGTGGCTCTGCCCCCTCGACCATCCGCCGCCTTGGCCCCTTCAACCTCCCGGCGCTGCCCTCGCCCAAAGCGTCGGCCATAGCCACGTCTTGGGAAGCTTGTGCAGAGCTCTGAGCCATGCTGCAAACTTCCTTGGCCGGCCACCCATTGCGCAATCCTTCGCCAAAATCCACGCCTCACCGAAACACCACATCACCGCAAAATGTTGAGCCAGCGCTTGACCCGCTGACCCACACTTGCCATTGCCACAAAACGCTTGCAAAGGGCTCCCCGCTGCTCACAGAAGTCTGGCCGCCCGTTTGCCACTATCGCGCACCACTGGAGCGTTGCTTGCAAGCCGCTGATGTGGTCAAAATCTGGGATTCTCACTTACGCCCATTCACCGATGGTTGCCGAACGACGGGTCAATCACCATCCAAACAGCCTCGAGCTGCCCTAAGGACCTTGCTGCGCTGTCCGCCGCTGCCTCCCAACCCTCAATCGCGCTTCGCCATCCGTAGATCTCGCTCAGTTGCAAAATCTGCAACTCTACCCGTCCAACACTCCGGCCGATCGCTGACCGAATTCTGAGCTAAACAACGTGCAAACTGCCCCAAAAAGCTCTTGGGGATGTGCCTGCACTTTGTCTGCCGCCGTCTTGCCCCAGGACCTAACTTGGCTCCGAAACCATCTTGAAGGAAAAGCCGTTGATATAATTCAAACGGCCCCCTTTGGAGTGCACACGGGAAGCGCGAATCCACGATTGCCGATGCTTCAACGGCGTTGGCACACGGCTAGACGCAAGACCACACCACACACACAACGCCCAGGGCTTACATATTTGTTCACCCTTCCCACAACGAAGAGCCTTGCCGACGGTGGCAACGGCCCCCGCAACCGAATAGTTCGAATTCCCTTGCACCCACAGAACTTTCCTTTTCACGTGACAAGGACCATCATCCATCACCAACCAGCCATACGACATTTCAAAGGTACCCACTCATCGCCACAATGCAACCCACTCTATAACACATATACTAAAGGTGCCCATACACTCAATGTAGAAATATTTCAGCTGCGAGCGTGACCTCAACATAACACTTGTCTCTAAATCGGATGGCATCTCCCACAGCAACCAAGTTGATGCTCACAAAAATCCCATCACATGAGAAACAATTCTGTGAATTCTGAAACACATTTTTCTTTTCCTTTTCTACATTCAGAATGCCTTGCATAGAAACCATATTCTTGACATGCATACAAGTCGCACACCATAATGCATAAGTGATCCACCCAGTGAAACGGTGGTCATTATGCGGTGTTGCAAACATATTGAAGGTATGGCCATTCAAGGCCATCCTTTGGAGTGCGCTTTGGAGGCTGGTGATTGCAGCGCTCCCTTGGAGTCCGCTGCGGCCATCCTTGGACCAAACTCACAGACGAGCAGCCTTGGGCTTACATATTTGTTCGCCCTTCCCACAACAGAGTCTTGCCGCCGCCGCCAGCAACGACCCCCACTCAGAATTCCTTTTTTCGCAACCACTCATCCACCCTTTTTACTCCCAAGGATTGTCATCAATCACAAATGCCCATATGACAATTCAACCCCATGCCACCTCATCACTAAGGTGCAGCCCACATCTGAAACATGCCACAGCTTCCCTTTCACTCAGAACTCAAAACAACAAAATTCTGACTACTCAGGTGCCGCATATGGTCATTTCCAAACGCCCCCACTGCAAAGTGCAAGTACAACAAATCTTGCAAGCCAAAGTGAAAGTAGAGGGCGGTCACAGTGCTGTAAAGCTTTGGGAAACACACATCCGAAACTTCCCCACAACACACCCTTGCATCTTGCGGACAAGACACTATGACCAAGGCATCTCTATGTGAATTGCATGACATTCTTTCATCGAGCTCATGTTGTCCTCAACAAACATGAGTGTGATCGAAAACTACCTCAAGAATCAAATTCAAAACCAGAATTCACTCACAGAAATGGCTAATCCAACTTTTCATAAAACATGCGCCAATCTTCAAGCAAAGGAGTATGCATAGGCTAGAAGCTCAATGCTGCACCAGGGAAAGAGACATCCTGTGTGCCCCTCCAAGGAAAGTAACATCTTGGTGGGAGTAACCTTTGCAAGTTTCATAGCACCATTTTTCTGCAACCACAGTCTTTTTTCTTTCAATCTCAAGCAGCGATTCACGTTTTGACATGCACACTAGTCGCAAGCCATCAAGCATAAGTGATCCACCCAGTGAAACGGTGGTCATTATGTGGCGTCGCGAACAGGGTGCAATTTCAGTCATACACGCTTAGAATTGTTACTAGTGGTATCAACGCATGGTGTTCATTGATGCATATTCTTCCAGCATCCATATTGCTTCACCGTCATCTTGTTGACATGACTCGTGTGAGCCTCATCGCCAGGATTTCACCAAGAACAGCCATGTTTTCTTATCCGAATGAAGCGGGTGGGTTTTCATTAGTTTCATGGCTGTGTAAAGTTGTAACATACTCCGAGCGCAGCCAGCCATGAAATACGAAACATGTCAATCATATAATTACCGATTATAACCCTTAATCATACACACCACTCATACACAACCAGCCTTACAATCCATAGTGTTTATCTTTCCTTCTGTCACATCCTAGTCAGAACCAGTTCTTTCATCTAGTCCCCTACTCTTCCATTAACCACATCAATCATGAAAAGGCCTCTTTTCCTGAGTCTTAAATATCCCTAACTAACAGAGATCCCCTATCATCATCCAGCAACCTTCCCAGCCGATTGTCTTCCATCATGATACTCTTTTCTCCCTCACAGTTTGAACTTCTGTGCTTGGTCATGTGACGATCCCAGCCATCAATCCACAACCTTAGGATAACAACACATATCATTAATTTTCTTTTCATAGCCACTTTCCGTCCAATCAGTATTTTCAAAATCATTATAATCTAATGATGATAATTATATTTAACAGCTGCCTACCCAATTGGCCCGTTGGAAAGGGCGCCAACCGACCCCGCCAGTTGCTGTGCAAAGAGCAAGCGACATTTCAATTCAGTGGGCATACCGTAGGCGACTGCCACATCGCATATACGCCGTCTTCTGCTATCAGCCCCCTGTTGAAGGCTCTTGCCTCTGGTTCTTGTTTCCAAAGCCCAGCCCAGTCGCAGGGCTCGTGGCGCGATGGGCGGCATGGATAACCTGAACCAGGAGCTCCTCGACCTGATCGGCCGCCGCGGCCGCTCCTCCAAGTCCGGCACCGCTTCATCGGACTCGGACTCCCCCCTCCGCTTCGCCCCGCCAAGCGCCGAGGCCACCGCCCGGGATTCACCGCGCGGCTTCCCAGCCCACGACGCCGCAGGTATCCGATCGCCGGAGCGGCGTCCGGGAGATGGCGCATCGCCGCGCAGCGAGGGGTCGGGGCGCGGGGACCCAGCAGCGCCGTCGCGGCGATCTCATCACGCCAGCGACGACGACGGGCCGGAGGACGGGGAGGACTTGAATGCGCGGCTGCCGGAGGACATGGTGGAGGGGGAGGCCGACCGGGCCAAGCTGCTGGCGATGACGGAGTGGGAGCGGGAGGTGGAGCTGGCGGAGCGGGCGGAGAAGCGTGACAGGGAGAAGGAGCGGCGGCGGATCCTGCACCAGCAGCAGCGGATCCAGGACGACGGGGAGGAGGTGGGCGCCTCGACACGCTCCGACGGTCCAGGCCGGTTTACGCCTTGGCCGCCTGCAGTTTTGTTGGGCCCGTACTGCGAGGAGCAAGCAGCGTTCTGGAAACAGACGCTGTGGGGATCAAGCGCGTGCGCGTCACCGCCCTGTTCGTGCATGGGTTCTTTGTTTTGTCCCTGGGGCAAATGGCATTGACCAAGAGTTCGGTTGTCGATTCCGAATACGCTGCGAGACCCTTGCGGGCTATTTGGGCTGTTGTGATTGGTTCGGGTGGGCGGTGAAGGGCGGCCTGACATGTGCGCAGGACGAGGACCAGCGCGTGCCGTCGAGGCGCAGCCGCGACCGCAAGGATCGCAAGGACTCCGCCATCCGGGAGCTGATGTCCGCCAGGGAGCGCAAGGCGTCGGTAGGGCGAGCAGACGACGCGGAGGATGACGAGGCGGAAGAGGACGAAGAGGAGGAGGAGGAAGAGGAGGACGAGGAGGAGGCGGGGGACGAAGAGGAAGAGGAGGACTCGGAGCAGGAGGAGAACCTGGCGGGCGTCATCAGCGACTCGGACTCGGAGAACCAGCGGCGGCCCAGGAAGGGCCAGGAGGCGTTCGGCGGACGGCGGGAAAGACCGCAGGCCGGGATGGAGGTGCGCTAGTGTTTCTTTTTGGTTTGGGATTCGAAAGCATTGTGTCGGGCTTGGGGAGTTGAGTTGCCCCCATTCTGGTGGAAGAGATGTGGGCCTGTCGCCATACCGTGCCGAAAACAGGGCAAATCAAGGTCCGAACAGATATTGTAGGTGTTTGCATGGAGTGTGCAGGGTAGTGGCTTGCATGGAGCATCACCACAAGAAAGCTTTATGTGCAGGGCGGACCTCAAGAAACGTTCACAAACTGTAGAAATCTATGCCCTGAATGGGTTAAATGCTACCCAATTGGACCACACGCAGCTGGTGATGTGAGCGGATCTTTGCACACAGTTGTCTGCTGTTGAGAAAGCTCTGTGGGGCTCGAGCAGGACTGGCATAGGGCCTGTGGACTAGGTGACACGAATGTAAAGCTGGCAGATGGTGTCCCAGCACACAGCCACGCATGGTTGGTAACTGGACTCAGCATTTATCCGTGCAACTCCAGGACGTTGTGCAGCGAGTTGCCACATGAACCAAAAAGAGAGGACATCAGTGGCACACATATTTACACATGAAAGTAACTCATATACTTGGTGAAGTACTCAGTTGCAGCCTGACTGGCACCCTTGAGACTTGAGACTGATAGAACCCAAGGAACAACAGCTGTGGGCTCTGCAGGGTCGTTGCGGGGATGCCATAGGACCTGTGTCAAGTAACCAGATTTTTGTATTGGGCAAGCTGCCAAGGACTGAAACCGAAACATGGTGCTCAAATTGTTCAGGATGAAGATGAGGCAGTGGACCTCAAAGAGATGCTATCAGTGCAGATTGTCAGGTCCCAGTTGGAGCGCTGGGTCAATGAGCCTCACTTTGAAAGGACACTGCCACAGTGCTTTGTGCGGATGGCAGAGGCGGATGCCAGCAGTGGGTCGATCCAGAGGGCCTACAGGATAGTTGAGGTGGTCGAGGTCATCATGAAGGAGAAATCTTATAAGTATGCCAACAACAGGCTGAATGGATGCACATTGCCCAGTGTTTTACTCCGGAATGTTGAGTTGGATGCAAACATGCGATGTGGAGAAGTAAGGCTGATCGCTTTTAGGAATGAGGCAGTACAGGGGATTTTCAGCTGTGCACACAATTCAGGGAGGACCTCAATTGCTCAGCATTCACAATTTTTGAGTTGCTTAGCGCTTCAAGTCAGGATTCTTGTGAGCTGGTGACATGCATAAACAGAGGGAAGGCCGCCATGTTTGTGCAGATCACATCTGACAACTCTGGCTGTCCTGGGCGTGCCACTGCATCGGCCCATTCACAATTGTTCAGGGACCCATGGAAGTGGGGCAAAGCTGTCATGAGCATGCAGGTGGCACCATAATCGGCCTCTCCTATTGTCTCCCAAAACCAGCAACAGCGCCCCTGGGTAGTGGGGACAGTCACACTGTGGCCCATCTTTCTGCACCTCTGGCACTCGACCAACCTACAAGTCTGCAAGAGAGACAGCTGCTATTGCAACATTTGCCAAAATATGACAAAGCAATGGCTGTGCACTTGCCAGGTGATAGTGGTTTTCATTCCATCCCTGGACAAAACGGCTGCGAGCCCTTGAGAATGAGTTTTATTACTCGCTCTTGCTTGCTGCAGGTTTGGACCAAGGTCTAATTCGACAAACAAGTACCTGTTACTGAGGGAGGGCCTGAGGGAGCACACGCGCGAGATGGGGATGGTGTCCAACCAGCTCGCCACAGAGGAGGATTTCCTGAGGTGGCAGGCCTGCTGTGAGAGGGATGGAAGGCCGCCTGTGTCCAGAAGACACGTGCAGCAAGCCCGGGAGAAGATCTCCAAGGCAACACAGTAAGGGACTGAACCGAAATCAAATCCCTGGCATTTTGCACAGAGAAGCATAATGGCAAATCCCGTGTCGCACTCTATGTGAGCTTGTCAGTGTATCCAACAGAACAGTCAGTGTCCCGCCCAGTCCAGCGGCCCCTTGATATTTGTCACAGCCCAAACCCCACGATCCAGGAATATCGCCACAGCAACAGGATGGAAATACTCATGGATGGCATCTGTCAGAACAGGGTAGGCTTTGCTCCATCCCATTTGCATTGTTGGGTGCTGTAAGCTATTTATTTCATGCACAGCTCAAAATGGGTATATTGTCCCTATCCTTGAGGGGCCAGCATGAAGCTAACATTAGAGCATTCATGTGCGTTTTTGTCCCATCAAGTGCCTCTTTGTCATTGTTGCATTTCATGGGGCCTGAAGGCTGGCTTTCCCATCGTCTCTTGCTGTTTGTTTGGACTTGATTGGTCACAAATGGTAGTGTTTGTGGTCAGTCTTGCATTGCCAAGTCCTACAATAGGTGGCCTGTATGCACCAGCCAAGCTCACAAACTGGAACAACATGGCTACCCAGGTGTTTCGGCTGTACGATTCATTGCTGCCAGAACAGATGCTTCCCATGAAGACTTTTTTTTCTCTTGTGCCTGCCATGTGTCCCCTTCAGATAACGATTTCTGGTGCACCGTTGACAACTGCAGTGATTTTCTTGTTGTGACCCAGCGTTGCTTTTGCATGTGTTGGCAGCAATGTTTAGAATGTACAACATGCAGAAATTGTTATAAGGACAGGCTGCTTGTGAGTCTTGTTGTCTATCCACTTATCTGTTGTTTGTTGTCTGTTCTAGCTGCACTGACATGGAACCCCATTTATGTCCCTGCAGGTTCACGTACACGGCAGAGGATGTCAGAAAGATGGTGGAGGAAAAGAGGGCAAAAGGACAGGTGATTATGAATCGGACAGCAGAAAAGGCAAACCTCCAGAGGAAAAGGGACTTTGCTGCTGAACAAAGTGACTGGGAGGAGGTGGAGAGGTGAGTCGTTCTTCCTGCTTGTAAGTGATCGTACACAATCGCATCCTGGAACACGATCGTACACAGGACATGGATTGAGCACAATGGCATTTCACAGCCATGTTTGACAGCACAGTGTCCCAACAGCGGCTGCCCAAGTACTGGAGGAGGTTCCTGGCATCCTCTGAAAGGCTCAAGGGCAGTGTTTCGCTGTGAGAAAGCAAATGCGATCAGAGCAGATTTCCCGGGGTCGAGGTCCGCTTGAGTGGTATTGCTAATGGAAATGGACCTGTTTCAGGAACTCGACTGTGTTGTGCTGTGTTAAAATTTGCATGAAAAGCTGCCAAGAGAAAGCTGTGGAATTCAGGCTGAACAAGGAACTTCAAACCCTGGAGGCCCGCACGCCAGTTGACAGGTCTGCGCGGAAGCGCGGCCATGGAATGGCCAGTGTAAACAAACGTGCCACGATGCACAACTTTAGGATGGCCTTCACAAATAAGGGTCAGGAGGACAAGGACCAGGCAGCCGATGGGCTGGATCCGTTCCAGAGGCGGCTCACTCGCCCCAATCAGTACTGGAAGACGGGAAAGGGCAACTCTGCAAAGAGGAAGGAGGTGGAACCCAGCAAGGTGGGTCCAAAAGGGGACAGGCCTTGACCGACTTGGGCGAAATGTTGCAGCTGTTGCCCGTCATGGCAGTAACTGCGCTGAAGGGTGCGGAAAGCTTCCACTGGAAAGCATTCTGTGGGATATTGTGTGGGGCCGGTATCCTGTATTGGTCGTGTTTGTGAAGGTCATCATGCACCTGTTCTCCATGGTAGCATACATTGCCGGCATGATCCTCAAGCACACATCGTTCAAGCATGGCGCAGCACCTGTTATGGTTGCCTTTGCTTGTACGTCCTGAATTAGAGCCACGCAGATCAGGGCCGGGCGCAAACTGAAGCGTCAACGAAACGTGAATGGCACTTTGGCGTTCCATTTTGGCAACCCGAGCGCAGGGCGCACGTTTTCGTTACCGTTTTGAAAATCTAGACGTAAAGCACAAGTTCCCGTTCCCGTTCCAGAACCCCACACATATTGTGCGCATTTGTGCATCCGTTTGAGTGGTGCACGCCCATTCTTGGCTCCAAGCGACCTATGGTGTCGTTGGTTGAGTGTGGGTGCGCATCGCTGCCAAGGAGATCGCAAACGGGAACAGCTTTGTAGGTCGTCGACGATGCCACCCGCCCATCTCCTTTCATTCAAGTTTTGGAAGTGCAAACATTCTGCAACATTTGCATTGACGTTTCTATGACTGAAACGGTCGGTCCACGTCCACGTTTCCGTTGTTGAAGCATGAACGCGGTGGGTACGTTCACGCCCTCGATTCCAAAACGCAAATGTATGGCAGACGTCCTCGTTTCCGTTCGAGCTGCGTACGCTCACCCCTGGTGTAGACTCCCCCTGAAAGGAAAGAAAGCATTCTGAACACGAAAGCATCAGAACCTTTCTTTTCTTTGCTCTTGTCTAACACCATCTCGCCTTCTCCTGCGTGTGTTCACCACCTCAGCAGTTCACAGCTCCTGTAACTGCTGCTACAGCCATTGTGTTTGGCATCTCTTAGCACTATGGAGACTTCAGGCACTGTCACCATTCAGCATGACTTAGGTCGCTACCCTCAAGCCATGTTTCCGTGCGGTTTCATGGGTGCCATGTGCAGTGATATCAGTGTCGATGCAATCAAAACATCACCCGACGTCGCCCCACGTGCGTCGTTGAATGCCCCAATTTTATTGCTGCCTTGTCAGCTTCCTTTATCTGGCCATTTCCCTTGCCCTTTTGCTCTGTTTGCTTCCCTTCCATTCTCTGCCATCTCGTCATTCAGAGAACCGCGGTGTTTCGTAGGAGGAGCAGCTAAAGGAGGAGAAACCGGTGGAAAAGAAGGTGAAGCGTCAGGATGTGGATTTCAGGGAGGTGGTCTGCGGCTTGGACTGTCTCGACTTCGACTTGTCATGCCTCAACAAGGCGTCGCCCTCCAACACCCTTGTGCGGAGGCTGCTGCCCAGGCACTGGACGTTCAGCGACAAGCAGAAAGAGCTTGCGGAGCAGGCGTCTGAGCGGCGCATGCTGACGTTGTATGACTACAGGTGCCGGCAGGGGCTTATCAACTAATGGCGTGATTGTCGATTGGGTGGGCTGACAGTTTGTGATGCAGTCGTATTGGTCAGGTCCGATTAGTTCGATTAGTCAGATCCGGGCCCGCTGTTGGTGGCGAGACCGGTGGGAGACAGTGAATTGCAGGGTGGCAATGGCCGGGCGCAATAAATGCCTGTATGGAAAGCGACGGGATGGACAATTGTTGTAAGTTTATCACCAAGGCTCTTGCTGTCGCTCTTTCAGATACTAAAGAGTCAAACTGGGCCCACGTTGCGGCACCTCGAAGCGCAGATCACCACCCTCACTGTCAACTACGCCTGCAATGGCGCTTCTTTCACCCGGTGAGCCCGCCGACATCCTGAACTGGGCTGAGATCAGTGCTGCCCTATCGGTAGACCTGTACTTTGCTTGGCACGGTCTGTGAGGTTGCTTAGTGGGACGAAGCACGTTGCGAAAAAGAATATGGGCCACACATATGATCCGCTGCCAATCTTGCAACCGGCGTTGCATTCCTCTTCACCTGGCAAACACGTTGTAGGGTCGCTATGCACAGATAAGAAGAGTGAAGCAGGTGTGTAGCATAGTACCACTGTGGTACATTGCTTGAAATGGCGTTTTCCAGTCCTGATGGCGCAGCCTACCACTGATGGCATACCATTAGAGCATAAAACTTCTCTTCCATTGCATGTGTCTGAAAACAGAAAACCCTCTGCGAGTGGCTGCCACCTATGTGGGCATTACTGCCACTGGTGACACAAAGTCTCCAAAACCCGTGCACATCCAGAAGCTCACACCGTGCCACAAGCGGTAAGGATGCACGACCCAGCGCCAATTCCTGGGGACTGCCATTTTCAAGACGATCTCCGTCAGAATTACAGCCAGGAGAGCGTCAATCCAGAACAGCCACGACGCTCTCCAGCGATGGGTTCCACTGGCAGTCTCACACATCAGCCTGAATGGAGTCCCCGATGGCCTGGCAGGACTGCTGCGGTCGGGCTCCCCAGCAATTCACAATGCACATGCTCCGTCCTGCAGGGGCCTCTCAGTTTGCCGTGGACTTTTTGGCCGCCTTCCGCCTCTGCGGATTGCGCCTCCTGAAGTCCCTGTTGGGCGCTTTCTTCACCTTGTAGATGCGCACCATCCAGTGCTCAGACGTGAACGCCTCCTCAAAGTATTTTAGCTTGACGTCCATCTTGCCAATCACGGCGTTGCGCACACGGTCATAGCCCCGCTGCCCTGTGACCATCACGGACGCGTCTGCAAATCTGCAGCACGTGGAAGCGAATTGTTAGCCCTCATCTATGGCGCCTCTCGAATGTGAAAGATGGCTGCCATTTCACCCAAAGGGTCATGCCAGAAGCAATGAAGGTAAATGGGGCTAATGAGATGATATCTGTTGTCGTAGTGTGGACAGGACGCCTCATGCTCAATCCGCTCTGAACTGTTCTAGGGTGCACCGCCACAAGCGTTTTTCAGGTTTACACCACTGTCCCAATTCAGCGGATGATATTCAAGGCTGGAGACCTGGGTGGAGGTTTGCCATCATGGGAGACACAATGCCTTGCAATGTTCATTCTCCATGCAATATGATGAGCAACCACCCACAGACGCTTATGCCACTGACAGCAGGATTGAGACGCATTGGTGGCTAGAAACCTTTCTCATGAACACTCATCCTACATGAGGGAATCAAGGGGTCCGCATGACGCTCAAATCCAACATCCGCGTTTCAAGCTATTCGTCTCCCTTGGCATCTGCATCAACTTCACATGGGAAGGAGCAGCAGCTCCACGGTTCAGGAGGAGACATGCAGTGTATCATCTGTTCAGACTGAACTGATATTATCTGAGCGGAAATTTCTCTAAGCAGACATTCCTTTGAGTAGAAATTCTGCTTAAAGTAGCATGAAGTGAAGTTACGTGTTGCACATGAGGCTCATCCGTGTATCAAACACTGCAATGAAGGTATTGCCATCCTTGTGCATGAAACAGTCCAAACAGAACGTGCTTTTTCAACACCTTCCACAAGTAAGCGCACCATTTTTGCACTATGCTAACAAATGCAATCACAGGCATACACAATATTTGCGTGGACTGGTCAATCCAGATTTCTGGGCCAAGACGTCACCATGGGAGAAAAGGCAATAAAGGGCACGGCGAGTGTGCGTGAAGCATTTACAATGCCAAGAATAGCTTTGGCATGGAAGCCAGCCAAACACTATGAAGCACCTGTAGTAAGTCAGCTGATACATGAGGCTGTCCAGCATGGCTTGCCCTGCGCCACTGTCTATGCGGTAGGACCCCGCCGCATCCAGGTAGTCCTTCTCCTGGATCTCCGGAAACACGCCACCACCAATGCGTACCATCCACAGGAACTTGTTGATGTCGTCACTGGGGTAGCCGATGTAGCCACCGAAGATGACAAACACATAGTCAACGTCCAGTGACTGGTAGATCTTCCAGGCCTGCACAGGCACAGGGAAGGGATGAAGAGTCAACGATCAATGAGACACTTTCACTGGTCCATGGACCCAATGTGCCGACTGCTATCCTCAGCCATTTGGCTCCAGTCATTTGACAGCCATATTCATAACCATCAGCCCATAATTTACCTATGCTCAAAATGAACCTCTGAAGGCAGCCTTGCTGTCATCTCAGTGCTATTTCCATTGCCCACACAGGAATGAGGGCAGGGTGCTGGCAATCGCGGCACACAAGGGGTCATCACTAGGCGCATTTCTTGGTGCACTTTTCTGCCCTACCTTGTAATGTGGTGAGGCGCCTTAAGACTGCTTGTCAGGGCGGGTCAAGCCAGATAGTATACTTGTCACAAAATGACAAGGTATGCCTTTCCCCCAACTGACAATGTCTGGCAAAGAATGCACGCACAATGTGATGTTCTCCAAGCGTGTTTGTGCCCATCAATCTATCAGCCAGGTGTGTGACAAACTGAGCACACAGTCATCAGCCCCCAGAGCGCATCCAATGGGCCATGAAAAGCAGTTCCTTCACCGAAGCCATGGCCAACATTCGCTGACCCCCAGCAATGGGCAAATGCCACTGGCCATTCCCCAGGCTGTTGGGTTCTAACTTCTCTAGTTGTGGCAATTGTGTTATGCATCATAGTACATGAAAGAATCGCAATTCAATATTCACATAGGGGTGGTTCCTTCAAGAGTCGTTGCAAGAATCTTCCTTGAACAGCTTCGAACCAACAAATAACAAGCATTGACCAGCAAATATGACAGGGTAAGAAAAACCAAGTTGGCCACACCTTCTTCTCTGGTGAGGACATTGCCCGCCCAACAGTCGCAATGTGGGTGTTGTTCCAGGTGTTGTTGTCAACTATGACAGTCCTGTTGGCCATCGCTGTGGCTTGGTACCCATAATCCCACCAGCTGGCCACCTTGCTGTCTGGCTCCGTATTGTGCCGCAACCAGGAGTAGGCCTCCCGAAAGTCGTCAAAGACATGAAGGCCTCCATCCCTGTCACGACACAGCAACGTGCTGGCCTGAAATGAAAAGCAGCCAGGATGAAGATAAGCAATCTGCTACACAGTTCCAGAAGCATGATGTATTCTCTTCACTGAATTCTCTACATCACCAAATGCCACACTTGCAAGTGGTCAGGGGTATGCCTTTCTATTGAGCAGCTCTCCTGTACTGCCAGCGATGCCATGCCTGGGCCAGCTGGCCCCTGAGACTCAAGTCGTGTGCAGTACATCATCCACCGACAGCCATTCACAAGCCAAACAGCGAATATGGCACATAGGAGTTAAAGGTGCTCTGACTACGATTTCAGTTATCTGGCTGCATCTTCAAGTTTACAGGGCAAGTTGAAAAGGTGGCTCTGCAGCGGCAAAGCTGCTGCGATCATGTACACTCACACCTCCAGCATTCAATCTTGGGAGTGAATCTTCTCATTCATGTCCTTGTGCGGTTGGGCACCGTTTGGAAAAAAAAGCCGACCCACTGTTTACAAGTCCACACACAGAGACACTGCAAGGCTCAAAATTGATTGTTGTGCAGGAAGATAGATAGCCACAGTTCCATAAACACCATGTGTTCAACCAGATGCATTCCATGTGCATAGTTGCGGCAGCAATTGCCGTCGCTTGGGAGCAGCCGCTGTTCATCAACAGGATGCAGTGAGGGTTTTCTAGTAATGATTCCCATCCGGATTTGCTTGAGAGGATGGAATTACATCATAGAGTAATATTCTCTTGAACATCCAGCCAGGACATCACACATGAGTCTATTGATTGCCCGTAAATCTTTGTTGCAAGCGCACAAGTGCTGTGCCAATGGCAGTGTTGGAACCCTTGCGACTTGGGGGCTGAGAACTCTAGAGCTGTCAAGGCCTCAGCTAACCCGCCCAAAATGGGGTTTCGGACTGGGCCACCTTCCCACGGACCCAAAAGCGCAGAAAAATTAAAGATTCCCAAGCAACTCAAACTGAATGTGGAAACAACAGCTTTGAGCTGAAAAAGGCCGCCAACATCGAGCTGCATATGGATCGATCGCTGCTGCGGTCAGCTGAAAGGTGAAAGGGCGCAAGGGCGCTGATTGGTGAAAGACTGTGAAATGGACTGAATGACCACATTCCGTTGGGACGAGGTGGTTCCTAGGGTTTGGGACCTGTTCCTAGGATTCCTGGGTTCCTAGGGTTTCCAAATATGATGTTGTATTTGGCTTCATCTTCAAGTTGCAAATTGACTTTTCAAATCTGGACATTTAATGTCACATGGACGAAGTACACGCTATCCTGCCTGCATTCTAACCCAGTTGCACTTTACAGACTTCTCCATTGTCTTCCATATCAAGGCAAACAGTACTACAGAAGGAAGGTACGCACCACATGCCAAGCTTTCTTCCTGTCAGCGAAATTACCAGGATGCCCCACTGTGACAGTGAGTGCACAAAACAACAGCAGGCCCAGCACAATGGGTGGCATACCTTGTTCTTGTCTGCAGGACTATGGATGGTGCAGAGTACATCTCTGCGCTCACCCAGACGGAATGCAGTGAGTAGAACACCAGCAGCACAAATACCAGAAACACTCCCAGCCAAGCTGCATCGTGTGGCACGGGGTGCTGCTTTGGGGCCTCTGTCGACTTCTTACTGGCCCTGAATCAGGCAGAAAGCTGCAGTTCAGACATGAAATCTGACTTGCAGCACCACAAATAGGCAACCCTCGATGGGTTAGGCAAGGGAATGTCTGCCCTCCATTTCAACTGCAGTGACCAGCGTTGTTCTGTAAACAACAGTATCAGGCTGCTATTGGGTCTGCCGCATCCCCACAAAACTGGTCGAATGTCTGCAACAGGCTACAGTATTTTGCAAGCATGGATTTCTATTCACCTTCACGGTGGTGGTCAACAGGGGTTTCACTTGGGCCTTGGGTAGCAGCCATATTCGGATACCATCGATCTTTCAGCCAAAGGCGCACCAGGCCATGCGCTGTACACCATTGCACAAGCGCATGCATTGCATAAGGTGGGGATGATGGTAGAGCCTTGCAGCCCACCGGCCCTATGTTTGACAGAACTGCTGCACAGATGGTGTCCATCTCACCTTTTGGCAGACTTTTTGACTGGTGTTGAAGGGGCTTCAGCCTCTTCTTCATCATCGGAATGCAGAGACCTTGAGAGCACACTCAGCATGCTCGACAGGGCTACACCACCAAGGCAGCATGCAGCTGGGGCGAGCACAAGCATCAATCGAACCTTGCACACAAAAGAACACACTGAGTGTGTACTCTGAGAAAGTTGCAGCATCAAGTCATGCAATCATCCAACCATGTGCATGATGTTTTGTCTTCAACAAAGGATACCAATCTTCACCACCACTGCAACCAAATATGTCATTAAAGTAGAAATTTAGCAATTCAAGCATTGAACACTTGTCAAGTGCTTTGTTGCTGCGAGTTCTTTGTGCATGGAGTCACAATGCACGCACGCACGCACACACACAGAGCAACCCAACTCTTGTGGACCAGGCACTGCTCTGAAAAAGATGGATGCACACACAACGTTCACAGGCAGAGCGGATCCCACAGGCAATGACGATCTTTTGGTCCATTGGGAGTGCTGGGGTGCAAACAACTGCAGCACACGGCACTGCATATCCATATGTACGATGCATATCCATCGCCATGAATGGATCTGCTCCTCTGATGCAAAAAGTATTGTATCAGCATGTGGGACAACAACTGAGGTTGAACAGTGCTCAACATCGCCCTAAAGGTACAAGGCTACTTTGGAAGGGTGCTTGGGCCTTGCATCTCTCAACCTCTATGAGCGCAGTCAATGCAATCTCAAGAGCACATGACGCCAATCAAAACACAGAATGTGACCATGAACACATGTTCAGAGGCCAATTTTGTGACAAAATTGGAAAGACGACAATCTGAAGCCTACATGCAGCTTCCATCTTGACAAAGAAACAAGAAGCATCAGCCACTTCCAAATCATCAGCTGTTTATAGTGAGGGCATTTCCGCCCTGACACTCCCAACGCTGTCTGATAGATGCAAATGTACTAACATATGTTTCAACAAAGTGCGTGTGATAGAAGTGTATATCTGACTGTGCCACATAGCCAGAATGGATGGCTTAGCAATTGTGGACCAAGTTGTAGTACAACCCTGTACAAGAACCTTCAACGAGTTGATATAAACAATGCAGATTTCCCACCATGACGCCCGAGAAGTACACTGAGGTGAGTCCGTATAGAAGCAGGAACAGCGATGCATCCGTCAATGGCCTGAAGCAAGCGATGAAGCCTGCCGGCAGCAGCAGCACCAGGATGTGGATGTCTGTGAAGTAGGAGGGCCATGCTGGCGGCTGGTGCTCGCTGACACTGGCGATGATTGGGATGTACTTGGAGGCATATGTGGGGTCCAACAAGCTCAGGCTGCGACCTGACTAGCAAACAAGCAAAGTGTTGAAAATTCGAAAGGGTGGATGCATGGCATGCTGTTTTGGACCGTGCTAGCTCTACCCATATATTTCACTGCCCTCTTATTACCTTGTATAGTTGACAGCCAATTTCTGCTTTTTGGGTGGGCGGAAGGGGTCAGATTCACATGTGTCAAGTTCTTTGTACATTTGTTCCTTTGCATAGCTTGCTGATCGTGTGAAAAAAACTGCTTGGTCAGGTTGTAGGATTGTGTTTATTGTGTTACTCGGTCTTGCTGCGTATATTTGTTTTGCTGAAAGACTTGTTTGGGGCGTAGTGCTTGCCAGGAGTCGCACCTGTCCATCCAAAAGTTGGTGAGGTTGTGACATATGCGATGACCAGCAGAAGGGCCCCCCCAAGGGCGATGGCTCCAGAGGTGAGCAGCAGCATCTTGGCCATCTGGTACGCCCTATCAGGCAGCATCTTGTGGATCCAGCTGATCAGCAGGGCAGCATGCAGCACGCCAAATGCCAGGAAGGCGCCAAAGTGTTCTGACATCAGAATGGCATTGAACCCGACAACAGGTATGCTGGCTGGCACAGCATGGCACACACAATCAGTTGAATGTGAAGCTCAGGGCGGTGCAGTGGCTCCAGCATCTGTTTCAAAAGCAGGGTAAATGTCCACTGCACGTTGATGAAATGTTAATTGTCTGCCTGCAATACTATTTCTCACCAAGCATATTCAATGACAAAGAAACCTCTTGCTTCCATTCAATCACAAACACACACCAGTACCATTTCACCCATAATTGTAGCTCAACGAACTGACAGCAGTGTCAAGAAAGTGTCAAGCACATTCTGGGGTTAGAATCAGAGCCATGTGCTTGCTATGCACTTCTCTGAAGGAAGGTATGGAATGTGCATAATCAAAAAGTACCATTTCACCTTCAGTGTAACCTTTTTTCGTTTGCATCCAGATGCAACACTTGAACACCAACACTGAAGGGACAAATCTTGCACTGCTCATTGACCAGTCAGCAAGAAGCACAACAGAAAAAGCTGAAATATGAATTGTTATGCAAGACACAATGACAAACAAAACAAGTGAAAAGCAACCAGAAATACCACCCAGGAGCTGCATGCATACAACCAAAAAAAAGAAGAAACAGTGACGACGTTGGGTCACCTGCAAGCAGCGTCCCAAACACGATTATGGGGGCATACGCAACGTACAACCTCGCTGACAGGCGCCCTGTGAACACAGATGCAAGGCAATGGATGGGAAGCAAGTTGATGATGAATGAATACCCTCCCCATGACATGACCTGCACAGCATGTTTCTGCAATTAGATTCTGTCTTGGAAGCTTGATGGCCTTTAGACCCCCTTGCACAAAACAAACACAAAAGTGCAATATGCCCCATGCTTGTCTCTACCAAATGTCAAGATGAATCCCTACCAATATATATTATCCCTCCTGGACATCTCCAAAAGAAAAGACACTCAGCTACAAAATCGTTGGAAATATCACAACAGATGGCACTGGAAGATGGATCCCTTGCAATACAAGTGACACAAATATTAATGGGCAACATTCAATTCCAGTTCTACAAGTTCTACAATGCACTCCCAAACAGACACTCTGTTGGTCAGTGTTTCTGCAAAACAAACCTACGCCTTCCATCAGTCCATCCTTGTGCTCAAGTGTGCCCCAGTGACATCAGGACCCAGGCAAGAGGTGCAGAAGATTTGCGACACGATCTGCAGACAAGCCGCAACAAGTTCCGCTGCAGGATTAGTGCACCTGGTTGCTATAGAGTTGGACCATTGAAAGTCCAAAGGATGGGAACACTCACTCACCATGTAGAGATAGGATCCAGCCGTTGCTGTTGCCCATGCCAGCGAGCCAGTGTTCAAAGTCTACAGTGCAGTACCAACACCATGTCAGCAGCCCAGGTGTATTACAACTGCATAAGGACATCTGCTGCAATGACTACTGGACAAATGCGAATTGCTGCATGTAATTGACAGTGTGAATGACTCACAGAAGACAGCAATGAGAACATGACAATGCTGACAAGCTTGCAATCTGATTACATAATGCCAACACCATAAGCAGATCTGCACTGGCTAACGACCTGGCGCTGGTAATATGCAAACGTATAACCAAGTTGGGGCCAGAAATGCATTCAAGCTACCACTGTCTCTGTCGCAGCCATCAGCTGGTGTTTGTGGAACAGAACTAGCGGATTGGCACCAGTCCAATGGGTTACCTATAGTGGTGCCACTGCTGTCTTCCTTGTATCTGTCAGGCAACCATGTTATCTTCCTGCCTACTCTCAGCCAATCACATATCATCCATTCCATTCCATTGTCTCTCGTACATGGTGTATTCCATTTGCTCTACAGACTCCAACATGTATGCAGTTTCATACTCATGCAGCTCATTCCTCAAGCCAGGAATGTTGCCACGTGCGAGGAGTCTTTGCGCACAGCACGATCTAAAGGATCCAGATCCA